GGGCTTCAGCCCATGACGTGTGGTGGGTACTACACCAGCTCCGACCGCTTTCGACGGGGTGCAGCTCAACTCTGCGCACTGCTGGGGGGCAAAGGAAGCCGCCAACAAATCAGGTGAAAAACTGGACTTGCTCTCTAGGGCTCTCTTGCCACCCTGAAATCAAGTCAAAAAGCTAAAGCTCTGATCAGGAAACAAGCATTTGAAGAACTCCACTTCAACATGAGCAGCAGAAAGGCCGCCGTTTGCCTTCCAAGGAGCAGCAAAAAAATTAAGTTTTGAAACCGCAAAAGCTGATGCCAGTTGGTAGCGCCTTCTGGATGCCTTTGGTTAAGTGCAGCGCTGTATGGCTCCTCCGGCCCCACGGGAGGCCGAGCGGGGAACCCTGGAAGGAGCCCCTGTGCCAGCAAGGGACACAGTAAGCCAGAAAACCAGGTTTTGGGAAGGCATCTAGGATGTAGTCAGAGCAAAGTACTTCAAAATTGTTCACACTGGATTTACCCACGAGTAAAGAAAACCTGACCAACCGTGTCTTAACTTTTAAATAAAAGGTGGAGACAGGGAATACTAATTCTGTGCAGTCCTTTAAAGAAGCAGTTATCATCAGGCCTGCTTTTTTTCCCCCCACATATTTCTACTGCAGGCTACCCGCACCCCTTTTTAGCGCTGGCAGCACTTTGCTTACGTGGCCACCAAGTCTTTCCTGAGGCTTCTGTTGCCAGGACTCGTCAAAGCCACCAGAACCACCCTCTCTCCGATACAAGCTTAACCTCTGCAAGCCATGGGCCTGAAAACCCCAGCCCAGAGACCCAGCTGTGAAAGACTGTCAGCAACACAGATGTCTGCCAGCAAATTACGGCTCGAGACAGCTCGGAGGCTTGTTTACACAGCTCTTAGGATGCCTTGCCAGCTAGAGTACGCCTTTTGCGATGGTTGCTCAACCACAACATGCATGGGGCAAGGGTGCAGGAGGGGCAGCCCACAGCTCCCACCTAAACGGGATTTATTTTAGATACATTTAATACAGCGGATTCCTCACCCCAACTGCCAGCGCAGAGGGAGGGTGGGAGAGCTGGAGGGAGAAGGGAAAGGCTGGTCTCAGAGCAGTTGCAGGCAGCCCGGACTAGTGACGCGGTACGCATTGCTGGATCAGTGGTTGTCCTAATGCTGTGGGGAAACTTGGCAGCCCTGCTACCACTGTGGGCTGTTGAGACAAAGCCAGTGTGGAAACTTCACTTCAGAGAAAAAAAAAAAAAAAAAAAAAAAAAAAAAAGGCCAAATGCATTATGACAGACCCAAAGACAATAACCTTTTGTAATCCAAACAAGCTGGGCAAGCCAAGCCATTGTTGAGAATCTGAAAAGCTCCAGAGCACAGGCAAAGGGTAAAAATGAAGAAAAAAAGAAATACAGCTTCTAATAGAAAACACAGAAAGCATCCTGGATTTTAAAATAGTTCATTTTCCTGAGGAAACATCAGAGCAGAGTGAGTTTTACACCCTCTCGCTAAAGGAGTCAGCAATTAAGCCTAAGAGTGGCTGTTTCTTCCCAACATCACCTGCACCTCTCTCCATGTACGTGCAAATGTCAACACACGGTGAAGTCACTGGCCAAAAAAAGGTTCAGACAATTGATCTTCTGCATTGTAAGTGATAAAAGTTTGGCAATTTTTTAGTGTATTAAGCTCTGGCTGGCCAAAGCTCCATCTGACATTTTCTAGAAAAAAATATATATATGCTAATTTATTCTCCATGATAGATATTGTCCTTAGAAACAAATGCAGAACAGACACGTCCTCGGCCACTGTGTCCTGATGCATCAGTTAAATCTAGGAATTAGAAATGGAAGCAAAACCCCTGAAGTGGAAAACGACCACTGTGAAACCCCAGCCACCTCGAACCATTGCCTCTGAGGGCCCACCAAGCTGGAAAACTAACGTCTTGTCCACAGTCTCAACCATTAGGACTGACCCAGACTTTTGGATAAACAGAAACAGATTGCTTCTCCTCTGCTTAGGAGATCACTGTACACAATTTGATGGAAAAGAAGACTCCCTTGGGCAAACACCCCACAAAAAGAAATGGATCCTTATTTAGGAGGGCTCTGATTTAGATAAATGTATGGCAACAGAGCAATCCCCTCACCATTTTATTGTCCTGAGGAAAACAAAGAGGTAACTAGTGCACTAGCTGTGGAATAGGGAACAGATAAAAGATTGTGATTTTTTTTTTTATTCAGGACAAAAATGTAGTCCCCATTTTCCACTTCCAGCCAGAAGTCAAAAGGAACAGCAGGGAGAGGTAGCCTCATCACAGTCTCCACATGCTTTTGCTTGGCACAGGCCACATCTTTCTGAGACAACACAGAGGTGAATTCAGACTTGAATTTTCAAGTCACAGTTTAAGCATTTATGCCAGAACAACTGCTTACAGATAGGCATGTTTGTGCTAAACTGGTAGTACTTTTTGCGTTGACCATATCAGAATCCGTAACTGGATCAACGTGTGCCCTACATGTCAGGAAATTCAGAAAAATCAACAGGAAAATCAACTCTCTTCTCCCCCCTGCCATATGCTACAGTTAATAGAGTTCACACTCCAGTACTGAAAAACAATACATTGAATCAAATATGCCATCCATTTAGCCTTACCCAAGCTTTTCTACCTTACTCATTATTCTACATTTAAAGTTTGCGTTCCTTCTTAATCTTCCTTGTAATGCCAAGAAGTATTAGATATGCAATAACTATCTTGAACAAGGTGAAGTACTATGCACAGATTCACAAATGAGGTACGCAAACAGATATACAGAATTATCTCTTCATTCAATTTTTAACCATTCCAACCCTGTATGCATCCCAACATTCTGCTGATTATATTGACTGGAAAAAAAAAAAATCACAGTAAGCAGAACTTCCACTGAACTTTTTGACATGGCTCTCAAGTTCATTTGGAACCTCTAGTGTGCACAAATAGTTACTTTTCCCTCTTCATGCTTTACTTTGTATTTATCAACCACAAATTTGATCACGGTGATGCCCGTTCATGTGAATCACTTAATTCTTTGCAGTTCCTCACAGTCCTTCTTGTTTGTTAGGAAAAGAGCTGTGGTGTCACCTGCCAATGCTTCAACTTCAACCATTCTAACCTCATTTCCTTTCCAGACCACTAACCATCCAGGGAAATGCAAAACAACTCCCACGAACCTGCAGAAACCCTCTTTGCCTTCCAACCATGATGAAAGAATTCTGCTCTTACCCTGCTCTGAGGGAGTTCTTGGCCCATGATACTTCTGTAGCTCTCCCCCAGATTAGAGGGGTTTTTTCTTTTTTTTCTTTTCTTTTTTTTTTTTTTTTAATAGCTTTTCACATCTTGAAAAAGATCTTTTGTAAGTCTACAAGAAGCCATTCTTTACTAATGCCTTCAGAGACATCCGGGAGTTTAATAAGAAAACTCCCTTTGCAGAAACTGGGAGAGTGTCTCATGATCTTCCAAATGTTTTGCTGTTTAAGTCCTCAGTTGATCCAATGTTCTCATTCTGTTCCTATTCTTTTGCTCCTGCCTGTAGCCTTTTTAAAACATGAAGTCATCATTCTCAGGGTGAGACTGCATATTCTACTAGCAGCTGTTCAAGATGATGGACAACGATGGTTATTCCCAGATTAACATGTTCTGCACAAAGACTCCAGATAATATTAAACTTAGATCATTATTCTGCCATTAAAACATCATTATATTTATGGTCTATAAAGTATGGGACAAATCAGAAGCATGTGGAGTTGTAGTTCCCTGTGAACGTCCAAGTCTCCAAACCTACAAGAGTTCAGGCTTTTTAACCCACTCCATCCTTTCCCTTCCTGAAAGGACTTTTGCTAAGGATTCTAAAACACAGACAGCATGGAAGTGAAGACCACTTGCATATATAGCACCTTTGCCTTTATAGGTCACACAGAGAGCCCACAACAGCAAGGATTAGGGCTTCTCTAAGTGAGTAGGAGTCACTTGAGGGGGAGCCTCTTGAACACACACAAAACAATGAAGACATTTAGCCAGAGACAAAAAATTCATTGTTCTTCCTGTCTTTACTTCATTAAGTCAATGCTGTTCATTCAAGCCATTTCATTTTAGGCTGGCTATGACTTTTATTTAGATAGGCCCGTTCTCTAAAACAATTCCTCAAGGGTTACCCAAATCAGGGGTCAGCTGCACTGGAGTATGAGAGGCAGCTCTTCCCTTCTGCAAGCGTTCCTCGGCACGCAAAGGCATGACAGCCCACTGATCCAGATTCTATATAAAGCTACTTCCAAGATAGGAAAATTGTTTAGCTTTCAGGAAGATCCCCTGGCACGTCTTCCCCTTTAGGTGTTTGCTCCACTTTGAGTGCTTACACCTTAAAATTAACTGAAACCCTGGCCCTGGAGGGAGGTCAATTTATTTAAAATGTTAACATCTAAAAGAAAAACACACCTGAAAAAAGGAAATACCTTTCCTTTCAGTACGCAGGTGTACACCTCCATGTTTGATGCAGTTTACACTAATCAAAGACACGTACAAAGCAGGCAGTGGTCGGGGAGAAGGCTAACCCCATGCTGAGAAGGACACATTCTTACCAGCCAGTCATGTTGAAGTCACGGTAGAGCATCCTCTTTCCAACTTCCTTGCGCTGCACCCTCCGTGGAAACTCTAAATGTGTGAACTCATTTCCCAGCAAGTGGGGCTGCATGTAAGCCTGTGGGCAGAAACCAAGCCACAGATACCACATGAGCATCATAAAACAAGACATCATCTATTTTTAATGAGGTAGCATTACCACCCCTTCCCGCTCCCATCCACACACATTTCCCTCCCCCCCCCCCTTTTTAAACAGGGAGGATTACAAGCTCCGTTCCAGCAAACGATGTGCACATACACCAGTTCTGACACTGCCTGGCGTCCGGCAGCAGCCTTACAGGGAGCAGTCCTCTTGACCTCAAAATCCTTCACTTCTTCTCCCTGCTCCTCAACATTTGGGATCTCTAAAGTATGCCTCATCCACTGACCCTGAGGGAGTCTGCAGGGCTTCGTAAAACAGAACACATCTCCTTTTGTAAATCAGTGACCAGAGAGAAGGGAACCATCAAAGGACAAAGCCACGGAGCAAGCAGAGACTTGGGAGGTGTGTGTGTGGAATGAAGCTCAAGCGTTTTGACTGCTGGTTCTGCTATGCCAACAACACACACAACCTAATATTACTACTGCACGTCAATTTTCACTCTACCTGCTCAGTGTGCTGCACCCCATCGCACAAGACACCGCAAATAAACATGAGTTGCAGAGCATTTCATTTTTTTGTTTTTAGAAAATGACTTCCTTTGCATAGGCGAGGCTTTAAGAAAAGCAGCAGCATTTCTGCGTCACAACCGCAACTAATGTTTTTGACGGTGTTAACATTCCAATGCTGCTGCTGCTGCCGCCCTTTCTGGTGTTGCTGCTCTGCAGATGCTGGGATACCTCTTTGCTAGAGCTGTGCCTGAGGCTCACGTGCTCCAGAACTGACTGCACTGGAGAGCGTCGCGAGGCTCTTTGTCCACCACACAGATTTTTGGTTTAGATTTATACACAGATCACCTGACACGATAGGTTAATCCTTAAAGCTCACTCATTTTTCTTGAATATTTGCATAAACAAGCCTTCCCTCCCCAAAGCTGCGTTGTAAGCGAGCTCTTCTGAAGACACAGTCAAATTGGCTAGGGAACTGAAAAAAGTTGCGTTTCTTAACCTTTCTGCAGATAAGTCTTTTTCCTTATCCAGACAGTTAAGGCAATAAAGCCTGTCTTATCTCCAGCAGCAGCTGCCGTCAGGGCAGACCAAATGAGCTGGCTTTAGTTTGTGGGTTTGTCATAAATCTAGCGCTCATCAAAGGTGAGCGGCAGGAAGCAGTGGAAGCCCTTATTGATCTACCTGGCAGCTATCATGCAGATAGTTCACAATAAAATATTTCCTGCATTTAAGGGCCGAGCCTGCTCCCACTCAATTTAATAGGAGTTGGATCAGGCTGAGCACATCACAGCGCTAACCTTCCATCGGCTCGTCCCTGTTCCCATCACCAGACATCCTTCCAGAAAACACCTTGAGCTCAGCTGAAACGGGGCTGAGGGAGATTGCTGTGTGTAGCCGACAAGATTGGATTCTGCTTTCAAGAGGCGGCTTTCAAGCACGCAAATGTGATCTTGACATTGTGATCCCTTCCCGGAACTGGAGCTCCATCAAATTCTCTCTCCATGTACAGTTAAAGGAATTAAATTTTCTTTCCTGCCGTTTACAGTCAGCCAAGGTCCCCACCCCCACCCAAATATTGTTTTCAAGGACTCTCTAATTGGATCACTGTTCCTCATTACAGAAATGGTTGAGAAACACTGGTGACTTTTGAGAGGTCTAGCAGCACTAGGCCAGACGAGGCTTTCCATACTTCCAAAACTCTGCATTCTGTATTTAAAAGTACATGTAAACTTTTTGCTTTTATTTATTTTCGCTCCAGTCGCAAAAAAGATGGAACATCCCTAATGATTTATTTGATGTATTGCTACACATTGACAGCAGAGAGCTGGACTTTTTTTGGTACTTTTTAATTCTTTCTAGTTTATGCTATTGTAAACAACAAAGTCAGTCTGCTTTGAAAGTGCAATTCAGTTCACTTTTAAAAATGCACAACCTATCTTGATTAAATCATTACAAACCTCTTCTAGCTAAAGACTACCGTCGCCTGCCTACAAAACAAGAAGCCTTATTTAAAGCAAAAAATCATACCTGACATCAAAGTGCAGTTATTTAACCTTTAGATTAAGAGATTACTTATTAGGCTGGATCACAGGTCCAGAAGAAAAAAAGTTACAGGCTTTTAGCATTTTTCCCCTTGAAAACAAGAATTTCCTTTATTGAAAAGGTAAAGCGATTGGGAGAGACTGCGTTTCATAAAGATTTACTCAGATGGAAAGTCTGAGGTCACAAGTGAAATAAGATTAATAAAGCTGGCAGAGTTACCAGTGGACTGCTAATGTTCAAATAAGATTTCTCTTCTGCAGCCAAGCCTCAATGCTTGATTTACAATCCAGGGATCTTAACTTGATTCTAATATTTTTGGCGTCAGTGGAACAGAGGGAAAAGAGCAATTTGGAAGCTTCTGGTGCCTGTGAGATGAATTCTTATGTGAAGAAATAGGGATTTTTGTTGGGCTTTTTTTTTTTTTTCCTCTAAATTTCCTTATTTTTTACCCTTTTCTTTTAACGGTTATTTTTGATGTTTCACTGGTAATTCTACAGAGAAGAGAGAGAAGAATGTTCTACTATAAAACTCAGTTGCGACTTCCAGTTGGGTTGGTCGAGAACTGTTCTTCATTTACTGTAAGGCATGACTCTTCTCCCTCTCTACCTCAATCAAACTGTGCTGGGCAGCAGAAGCAGAAAATAAATAAAAAGCAATGCTTTAAAAATCTACAGATTTTTCAAATAGATACACAAGCAGGCACCATGAAATCCCCGCAAGTGATCAAACAAGAAACAAAACCAGTAAGTGAACTGACTACCAGAATTTCATCTGTGATGAGGTGTCGTATTTTACATTTTTTAATTTGTTTAGTCTCCATTTGCAAGGATCTCAGATCAGAAACGCCATTCGGAGAACTTAAAATTTAATAAAAAGAGTGACTATCGAACACTTTCTATATCCTTCCGAGGTATGTTCAGACAACACTGTTATTCTGAGTTATGGAACTGGAATATTTTCCATCATTTTTCTTTCAGAAACTATTACAGTTTTTTGGCATAAATCTGGCAGTCTGCATCATGTGTTTTTGGTACTCTGCCATTTAATGGTGTATTTTGTGGCTGAATGTATTACATTCAACATTAGTTGTTTGAAATGGAGTCCGCTCAAGGAAATATTAGTCACGTTTCTTTCAAAAGGCTATTTACTTCCTGCTGTGTTTCCTGGTGATCAAGCAAAGCAAACATGGAATTAAGATAAACCCAGACTTACGCACTAGTGTGCCAGTTTACTAGGTGGCAGGGAACACTGCCTGTATCTTATTTTACCTCGATAAGGCCTGCTGATGCCTTTTCCAGCTCCTCCAGCACGCACTGCTCTGGGACATCACCCGCACTAGCCGTTTCACTGTATTCTGAGTTATTTTCAGAACTACTGTTCTCCCTGACATCAACTATATTTTCCAACTTTATCCTTTTATCATATTGTGCCATTTTCTCCAATGGGATATTCTGCTATGTGGGACTATCGCTCACAACAGTATGCACAGCACAATGCATCCGTAAATTCTGCAAATTACTCAGCCATTATCATACGGGCATGTTTAAGCCAAACAGAGATTAAAACTAAAGGAGGTGGTGGTAGAAGGAAAGAGGGAAGTGGGAGTAAAATCCATCCCTGGATTAGTCTCTCCTCTTACGAAAGGCCAGGACCTTTTCCATAAAACCGCACATCTCTTACCACAGCATTGTGCAATGTATCAGATGGCCAAAGCAGTCCTATGCTGGGTGATGCAGGGAGCCACAAACTGTAGGAGAATTAAGATGCATCTGACTTGTAATTGGAAGCACTGAAGTGACATTTAGGAGATCTAGGTTCACCTCCTCTTCAGACTTGGGTTCCCAAGCATCCTTCAGCAGGTAAGTTAGTATCACTTAATCCTCACCCGAACAATGAAATAAGAACAGTTCCTCTTTGAACCCATGCCCGTCCAGGCTCATGAACCTTTGTTTGAATGGTGCCAGACACAAAGAGCATCCACTGCTCGCTGCCAGTGATAGCCACCCAGTCTCCAGCAGTAGTGAAGCCTGCCCTGGTAGCAGCAGTGCACCATTTTTGATCAGAGCTGTGAACTTCTGGGGCACTGCTTGGCCACACACATGGACATGGTATGCAGTAACACCACACTCACCTCACATGACATCTTCAAAGTGCAACCTTGATAACTAATGGAAATACACCCATCTGCAATACGCTCATTCATCATTCATTTTGCACACATTTTCCAAGGGAATAAGTAACAAAATCTATCAATTTACTGTTGCAATTTAGACTATCATGACTAAAATTAATAGTCTCCTCAGAAGATGAAAGGAAAATTGCCTCTGGCAGTCATTGCCTGCACAACTGCTGAATGTACCAGAGCAGTTCCCAGTCAATACTGGATTTTGTTCTCCCTCAGGATACACAGACACGGGAAGCCAGGGGGCTCTCCTGGAGTAGATGCTGTGTGAGCTCTCCTGCCACAGTGCTAAAAAGACAAGTCAGACAAAACAGCAGTGGAAGGGAAGGAGTATGGTGCACTGGACCTCTAACGAGGCCAAAGAACCAAGGGAATAGTGGTGCAAGGCTTTCAAGCCTTACATCTTAAGAAGTGCTCTCTGAACGATTGATTGCCTTCTGCAATACTCTCACAAGTCCCCTGACACAGAAGTCTGCCTCTGCCATTCACCCTGCCTGAAATCTGCAGCTGTATGCTGTCCTCCCACTGCAAAAAAAGGGGGTGCAGGTGGAGACAGAGGGATAACCATGTCTGGAGCTGCTCAAAAGTTAGAATGACTGGATAGTCAACTTGTTCTTTTGAAGTTGCCATGCCAGAGGCCTATGGCCAAGGCTCTTCCTGGATACATGGCAATAAACCTGCATTAAAATGGGAGCTAGATAGGGAAAACATTTGTTTCCCCCCCTCCTCCCCCCTCACTCAACCCGTACCAGCTGAAGCACAGTTTTATCCCAAGACTAGGCTGGAAGACTTCACATAGAGATGCTTACATGACCTGAACAATTCATTATCCCACAGAATTCTTTGCACATGGAAATTGGGGCCCAGAAAAAAAGGACACAAATCCAGAAGATGCCAGTTAAGCTAAACCAACGTCCTGTGTGGCTGAAGCAATCAACAGGCACTAAAGGCAGAGGAAAGCTCCTTTGCCCTGACTGTGCTAACAGTGTCTACTGCACAGGGAGCCAATGCTCAGTAGCCTGCAGGCTGTAAATCCATACTCTCCCTTTGCCTGTGCAGTAACTTCCCCACAGTGAACAGTATCTCTGCATTTACTGAGTAAAATATTAATGCTAAAATGGTTAAGTCATTTTCTTCCTATTGTGCAGGAAAAGCAGTGCAACATGTTTTAAACAAAGAAACTCAGCTTTAACTGCATATGAGAGAATAAATTCAAGTAAGTAACTTTCAGATAAGAACAGCAGAAGAGAGATGTTGATGGTGCAATAGACTGATAGCAGAACCTGGGGACCGCCAAGGTGACTAAGGAGAATTATTTGGGATCTAATCAGCAAGACAGATGCAACCTTTGGAGTGTAATGTTTATACCAACCTTGCACGAAATTTGGGTTGTCTTTTTTTTTTTTTTTTAAACACTACAGTAAAAATGTTACTTACAGAATGTTATGTTTGAAATTATCTCTAATTTTGTTTCACGCTCTTGCTGTCTTGCATGTGTTTTCTTTGAACATGATACCCATAGCCCTGGCATATTTGTTACATATGGAATTAAAATAAACAAACAAAGGTAAAGGAATTTTCCAAAGGAAACAGAAATGCTTTTCAGATCAGCTGCTGTTTTCAAATATAAGCCAGAAAGGACATCAAAAGAGAAAAAAATCCCTTGTAGGCAATGCTTTATCTTGTATTTCCTACAGAAGTAGCAGACTCCCAAGATACTAAAGATACCTTTTATTTTAAAGGCAAACAAATTATTTTACACATAACCAAACTGTAAATATTTATTAGGCCTCTTTTCCATTTGGTTCTCTGAATATGAATACTCCCAAAAGCAGTATTTCCTCTGAAGTTTTCAGCTTCAAGCCAGTGAACCTGACTAAAAAAAAAAAAAAAAAATCAAACGTGACAATTGCGGAAACATTTACAATTTTTCTTTAAAACCTTCCACCCCTGCCTTCAACCACTGGCATTCTGCCTAGTTTCAAACCACAGTGCTTGGGCCAGGCTGAGGATAAGAGACACCTTGAAAACAGGGAATGCCACTAGCCTTGGCCTGTCTACCTCGTGTCAGGCAAGGCTGACAGTGAGGCTGCCTTGGCTTAAACTTAAATTTCTAAGAGGAAAAAGCAGAAGCACAAAAGAAATCTCTTGGCCATGTTAGGAATGACATTTTGACAAACAGCCGACCAACTTCAACCAACCAATCTGACCATCGATGGAGAACTTACAGTAACAGGATTGTTTGCATGAAAAGTAACACCATGCACTTTGACTTCTGTTTCTTGGGCAGCTTATCAGCGAGGGCGACTTGGTGTATAAAGCATCTGCCACCTCCTCAGCTAGTCACCCTGTCCCAGCTTTATGGGTGCTGCTACAATAATTAAAACTAGTCTTTCTTCACCCATCCCATCCTGCAGCTACTAATGCTCACTGAGATCACCTCTAAGGTGGGTATCCTTTCCCTGATCGAGATACTATCAGCAGACTCTTAGAGCAAACGAGTAAAACCCTGCAATATTGTTCACAGGCACACAAAGAGCAGCCTGTGGTATTTTATACTGTCACACAGTGAACACTGGGATGGATTGAAATACCTCTGTGGCTTGTTAGCTCTATGTCTGAGCTCTCATTATCCAACACCAATGAGCTGCTGAAGGCCTGCAGCTGAACAAGGTACACAAGCACCGTCACACTAATCGATGGCCTTCACAGAAGAGAAGACTCCTTTCATCGGGATTTGCACCACCAGGCTTTTCTCCACATTTGCTGATGGCTAAACGACATACATGGTCAGTCACTGGTGTTCAGCGGATACGTGGTCCTCCACTGAGCCACAGTAACTCTGCGTCATGTGTCTGAACCTTAGATATTACTGGGCAATGCTTGTCATCAGCAGCACCTGATTTGGTTGTCCGGTCTCTTACCAGATACTGAAGTCGCTGACGTTCTGTCTCTGGAGTGAATTCTGAAGACATTGGAATGACTTCGCCATTTCGGATTATTATAGCCCTGTAAATAGTAATAAAACATGATCAGTACAGGAAAAAAAAACCCAACCCAGAAAACCACAGGGTACAGTCACACTTATTCTCTTCAGAATCACAGTAAAACAAAGCCATTTCTTTTCTACTGAAGTTGTCAGCAGAACAGGATAATTCCTGCTCTGCATCCTTTAGGCTGAATAACAAAGTATATTTGTACATGCCAAGTTCATTTCAGAGCTCACAAAAACATCCAAGCCACAAAGGCAAGAGTTATTTCAGTTGATGTCTACAGGGTATCCTTATTAAGTGAAATGCAGACACCCAGAGGAGTGTCAGCAGAATCACTGATTGTAGAACAATTCTTTGCAGGTTTTAATCCCAGTTGTGGCTGACACTGTCTAAACTACTGGCTTCAAATGACTCATGCAAGCAGTTTCCAATTATTGATTGGTCATATGTCATGTCAGAACATTTCTACTCCAACAGCAAATGGAAATGGCAAAGCAAATCCTGTTTAACGCAAATTTAACTAGTTACCTGCCGAAAGACGACAGGTAATGGAATCACTATAGATCAGCCAGGAGATTTCACATACGTTTCTGCAAACAGCAGAGGGGAAATTCTCTCAAACACCTGCCTGTTGCCTCCTAACAATCTGCTATGCCGCACGCAAAATACAGTCCGATTCTTCTCAGGTGTAATGCCACTGGCTGAAACACAGTCACAAGGGGCAAGAATTTACCCAGTATTCCTACTGCATTCTGTGGTCACGTATTCGCTCACAGAATTGCGTTCTTTTACCTTTCCATTATTTACGCAGCTCTGTAAGTATAGTAATGCTGGACGAGCTACCTACCATCACGAAGATTTTAATGCCTGTTTTGGAGCTGTTTCTCAACCATCAGTAGATTAATTCAGTGTTTGGATAGGAGCAATGTACCAGCTACCCTCTTGAATTTGCACAGAATTTGGTGCAGGTAAAACAGGCAACTATCACTTGGATTCCAGTTTCTATATGTTTTAAATGGTCTCCTTTCTGTAATCTTTTCATGCTGTTGATGTGATATTTACATGCTAGCTTACTTCTTGTGATCATTTGATCTTTTTGCTGGCATTGGTTCTATGCCAGGAATTCTGTAGGCACTGCAATACAACCAACAAATATGGTAGGCACGCAAAGACTGAAAACTTAACCTCTAAATTCAAAACACAGGCACCTTGAGAAAACCTGCCCCGGTACAAACCAGCTTTGTAAAACTGTTGGCACTGGATAACTTTCCAAGTCTTCTGGATATGATATTGGACTAAAATTGTCTCGGAATGATCATCTACTATTGCTAGTATGCAAAGGAAGGGTCATTACCAAAGAGGGAGGGAATGGTTCGCATTCCTGAGATTCATGTGGCAAAGAACAGACAGGTACAGGGTGGCACGAAAATGGGAGAGGTGGGAAAAGGCTCTACTGATAAGGGGAAAACAGCTCTGCTTTGACAGGTAACAAACTTACTGCTCTGGGACTTCCAGCACTCCCTTATAAATAATCCTATGTAGAAATTAAAGGTGGCAAGAGCGCAACCTATATACTGAAGGCTTTCACTGGGCCTCCATTGCTACAGTGAAAAACAATATTGTGTGCTTGAAATGAGACAGACATAGTGGTTGTAACTCGTTAATTTTAGAGAAATTTCTGCAGAATTTTTGATGGACTTTTTCCCCTTTATGGGATCTGAATACATTACAGGCTTACAAAAATGCCAGTCCAATTAAAAATAATAAAGGTTTGCTGAAAATTTTCCTTTTGGATTTCAGAGACAGTCATTTAAAAATGAATTAATAACTCCACCACCTCTTTGCTTTTATTTTTGCAGTTCCTAAGGTATTCGGCTTTGAACCACACTCATTTACTCAAAGACAGTGGACGGTTTTTATAACCTTTTCATATGTAATTTGACTCACTTGAGCAGGCCTCCATTTAAGGGGACTGTGGGTTTAGTAGAGAGTAAGTACTCTGGCAACAGTCTAGACTAGACTGATCAAAGGGGCTGATCAGACACTAACCAAATTTTACACACTAGTTTAAGAGAGTCTTAAGGGATCTACCGATCTTGTGCCTGTCGGAAAGAGCTAAACCACACATTGATATAACTGCTAGGGCATCAGGCTAATTTTTTAATTATCCTTTGCTTCCCCTTTAATCACCATTTCACAGGAAACCTGTATTTTAAAGAGCACTCAGACCAGTCTGGGGTTCACCTTGTTCTTTGTGCACACTGACATACTTCCTATATATGTTGATGGCTATCGTTCTCACTTCTAGGGGTAGAATTGGGCCCTGAGGGACTCACATCATATAAAAAGCAATTCAGAGGCGAGTGGGTCAACCTTTCATGGCTCAACTTATTTTCACTAGAAATTGCAGCCACCTGGGATGAAAAGCACAACCCAGCACAAAAAACCCAAACCTTTGGGGGGAGGTGGGAGGGGAGAATTAAAGCAATGCTGTTGATACCTGATAAAACAGAGCCTCAGTTTTATGTTTTTCATTAATGTTTTCAGCAGTTGGACTTTATTCAACTTGAAAGTTACAGCTGCTCATAAGAGTCAAATGATTTGATCCGAGGAATTAGACGGCTCTAGATATGAGTAACAGGAGGGATGCAGACGTACATATACAGGTCACTGGTCTGAATTCAATGCTGGTGGGCTCATTATCCTCTTACCAGTCTCTTTACCTTTCCGCACCAGCTGCTTAGCAGTTTCATGACAGCAAAGGGCATTTCTGCCAGCCCAAGTGACAAAACTGGACACATTCGTCGGCCGTTTTGCTGGAGAAGCTGGGTGCAAAAGCCTGGCCTGGGAGCCACCCTACTCAGTGGGATTTTCCCCTGCGATTGAAGAGGTGCCGAATCAGGCCCTAATTGGGTTTGGAGACTGAACTGCCCTTTCCATGACCTCGCAGTGACAGAGCTGCCAAGCACCAACTGAAGGCTTTTCCCACCGAGCAATCTCCAGAGCCCTGAATTCAATAGCCCCAAGTCAGGAACTGCTCACGGGGAGGGAGCCCGGCTGGCGCGGCAGCCACAAACAGCCCCGCAACCGCTTTTAGGGACCCACTCTGTACGGTCCTGCAGGACAATTAATTTTGACTTTACGCTTCCTAATGGACTAAGCAGCAACATGGCATTACGTAAGCATTACTGCTTCTGCCATGCATGAAAGATGCATGTACGCAATGAAATAGTGCTCTGAAAGCATTTAGCTCCCCGTGCACTGTGGAAATATGAATGTATTATTTTATACCAGAATACAGCTGTCCTATTAAATTGTCAGAAATAGCTACATAGGAAGCAAGAAGAACTCGAAGAGATGCAGTGCCCAGAGAGCATCTGATTCTGCCATGTGTAATAGTGACATTTTAATTTCAGCCACACTGGTGAAACACATTATAGCAGAGCCACGGGGAGAGCCTGCCAAAGGCAGCCGGATGATTCATGTTTGCAGGGAACAAGTATGTCAACACTAACCAAGTATTCTCTGATGACAAGGTTGCTTCAGACCCATACCGATCACTAATTTATATCACCAGTGAAGTAGTAATTAAAAACCAGAAGTTTTGTTGGCAGGATAGGAAATCAGAAGTCACAGCTCTGTGATCCCCCTCGGTGCACTGCCCTCCACGTTTTGATGACCTCTCCATGCAGCACCATCCACAGCAAGCAAACAGGAGAAACTGCTCTTAAGTCTTGAGGCCACGGAGGCCATCAAGTCACTTAGTTTGATCCTTTTTAAAAACAAGCTATAGATTTCCCTGAGTCCTCTCCCTTCTTTTGAACAAAGCTACCTAACTCCCCACCCACGTGAACTACAGGATCGTACTTGCCCTTGTGTCCCTAATCCAGAGCTGGTAAATATTTACAGAAACCAGGAATACAGTAGGAAAAAAAGCCCCCAAAACACAGCTGAAGTAGCCTACAATGGAAGAAACAAAAATCTGAGGTTCTCTCTCTCTTCTGGCCATTTCACTGAGTACTTTCTGACCCAGAGAAGCCGTGCCCTGAACAACTAAACATAGAGCAAGTGATGTGCTAGCACCTCGGTGCATAAGGTGGGACGGGCAGTCATAGCAAATCCTGCAGCGGGCTACGTCCACTCAGTCACACACATATGAAAAGGAACACCAGGAGCTTAAAGGCTGCATGTAAATCTACAGAAAATACTACATTTATCTTTTGGATTGATGTAACTGCATAGTCTATGACAATCAGCTAAATGATCTTTTGAGTATTTCAGTATAACCACGTACTTAAGGCTTGTGTGAATTTTCTATATTCAGATTCAATACTTTAAAACACTATTTGGTGCTGTAGTATATATCCCCTTTCAAAATACGTGGTAAATGAAGCAACGAAAGGGTAAAAAATCTGCCACTGTGTTGTACTGCTGCTCTCACACTCAGGGTGCAGGAACAACACTGGCTTAAGGAAAACATCAATATATCAATTGCTTTTGCATTTTTAATATGGATAAAAAGCCACTTCTCCTTGAATCAAGCAGGGTTTGGTGTTTTTCTTTTCTTTTTTTTTTTTTTGTGGAGAACACAATCAGCTGAGAACTGCAGTGCATCCTTTCTGAATTTCTTCTGAGAAACAAACAGAAGAAAACTCATACATTTTAGAGGGAGCTATTGTTGGTTACTCTCATTTAATCATACAGAGAAAGAAACACTTTAGTGAACAAGGTCAAAAGTGTAATTTCACCGCTGTCATGGGTCTATTGGGATTCTGGTGTTCAAAACAAAGAAGCATCTCCTACTGTTAGGAGTATTAAGGGGACACCCTGATTCCATTACACACTTTTTCAGCCAAAAATGATGTGAAACGCAACATTAAACTGCACATTTCTACAACAGAGGATAAAAATCTGGAAAGGTGACAAAGAGAGACCGTTCGGAAAACCCTTTTTGACAGCGTATATCAATTCCAAGCCACAGGGAGGATGTATCCATTTTGTCAAAAGGTGTTAAGC